GTGTTTATGTTCTTCTGAAAATGCTCTTTTAACTGTGCTGTGTTTTGCATACAAATTGAATAATAATATGTATTCATTGCAGTCATTCTGCTACAGAATTTAGATTTGAAAAAAATATTTTTGACTTTGCTTGAAGTTCAAATGTTTACATATCTGTAATACAGATCTCTATGGCTTTAAGTGACAGACTTTTAGGTTTGATATCTTTTACATAACTACAAAAGATGCCATGGCTATTTATTTGTTAACTTGCAGTTGACAAACTGGAAATAAACCTGACTCTTTTTATCATATTTGTCTCTGCATACTTTAGTCGATCGAAAGCTCTTCTCAGTGTAAATATCGCCAGACTACCAGAATTGTTCTCGTCTACCTCGTTAGTCTCTTATTTAAATATACTTCCTGATATTCCTGTCGCTATTTATGGCTATAATGCATATGTATATTGCAGTGATATGTATAGCAGAAACATGATTAGATCTTATTGATTGCTCTGGTTACTTATAAAACTTGGAGATAAGATTCTTATGATGGGTCTCAACAGTCTTCTCTTTGAGGTGCCTTGCCAGGATGTCTTTACAGGTGAGGAAGCTGGCAACATGGAAAACTGATTCTAATTTTGAATAGGTATGAAGCAGAAGTGCATTGCCTTCCAGAACTGCCTTAAATTAAGTTGAAATAACCATTTCTTACTTTGGTTTTCCTAACACTTCAATTTTAGATCCCCCGTCAACAAATCCTTCTAGTCCTTCAAGGGATAGTCTGAGGTAGAACTTACTGTACAGCCCACTCTTGGATAACACATGAACAGGTGGAACTTGTGCACAAATGGATTTAGTTATTTTCTTTTAAGCAAACACTAATTGGAGTACATTTTTCTAAGAATACCCTTTTCTGAAGGAAAGTAATATTAGAGTAGGGACAGATAATGCTCAGGTTTAATATATTTTAAAAATGTAGTTTATTAGAATAAAGACAAGGCAATGCCGTGTAGTACTTAAACATGCAACATGTGACAAATGAAATACGTAGGTACTCGCTGATGTAGTGTAACTGGAATGGCCTCTTCCAAGAGGTGATCTTCAGCTGCCCAGTTGTTGACTGATGTGTGGATCAATAAATGTCACGATACAACTGAGTTATGTTGCTTGGGTTTTTAAACTTTTTTTTAAATGGTAACCTTTTAGTCCATCTTTATCTCTGTAGTAGATGACCATATGCTACGTGTTGCATCTTTTGTGTCTAACCTGTGTACACATGGCACTCTTAGCTACTTAGAACATGTAGTAGGTGTAACAAATAATTATTGTGATTGTATGAGAAGCAATTATGTTCAAGGTTCACCAACCAGGCCTATGAAAAGAGGCTTGAAATTCTAGTATATGCAATAAATACTTGTGCTCACTGTTGAGCTAATTAGATGCTGTGTCATGCCTTGTCTTGAATAGGTTTGATAAGATCACATCTTCATTCTGGTGCTTTTCTTAAGAATATGCCATTCTCTGTTTTGCCTTTACTCTTACCTTGTTCTTCATATTCATTCTCTCCTGTATCATTTACTGTTTCATTCCTAAGCTTTTCTGCCGTTGTTCTCTCTTCTTAATTTTCATATCATTCTTCCAAGTTGCATAGCTGGAGAACTTCACTTACCAAAGAAGAAACAAATAATCTAAAACCCGAATGTTTATGAATGCAACCTGCTATTGGATGGAGTCAAAGAGAAAACACCATACGTTCAACTGTTGGATGTAATATTCAGTCTCTGGGCTTACCAAATTTACCTTGTACTTCAGGTGGACTGTATCTTCACTAGTCCTGTCTTCATGTATTGACATCCTATTTACAGGAATAGTGTCTTCATTTGCTCGCACATAACTGGCACTAGACAATACCTATGAATGTTCTCTAGTTCTACAATTCATTAATTTTTAGGTAGACAGGGGCAGGAGATTTTGGTTCATTTGTTAAAGCAGTACCTTTTTGTGAGTCAGCCTCCAGCTTCGGAGATTCATTCTGGATTGGTTTTGTATCTTCCTAAGGCAGGTTTGCATCTTAGATAAAAATTCCCCTGGGGCTGTCATGTTCTTCAGCTGTTTGGCGTGTGTGTTATGCAGCTGCTTGAAGGAAAGGATAGTCTAAGGTGCAATATTAATCTTCGACATATTTGTGGTATCAGTCATATGCTGAGCTTTCAGTTAGGCTTTTTTGTGCATTTGGAATGCAAAGCATGCTGACTTTGCTTGTGAGGCAGTAGATTGAAAATCTAGAAAGAGAGTTGAAATACTTACATTAGATCCTTCTGGAGAACCTCCTTGCAGTCCTCTTCATCCACTTCTTGTTCTTTGCTAACAGTGCTTAATTTCCTAATGCAGAGTCAGTGTAAATGTCTTCTAGATGAAAGGCTTGTGCATTGGACTACGGAAATTCCTTGTGAGGGGCTAGGAAATGCAGTTCCTGAGACAGTGAAAACAATTGTGATGTTCTTCTGCATGGGTTTTGCCCATTTGATGTCGTCCTCCTGTCTAGTTCTACTTTTGTGGTGTTTGTCTGGGATTGAAATTTGCACAGCAGAGATCTTGCCTTGTCTTTGAGTCCTTGTTCCCAACTGTTACAGTAAATTAACTTTTTCCCAAATCCTGTAATCTTTATCAGGTGGTAGAAGCTGGGATCTGGATCATATTGCTCTTAAAAAAGCTGAAGTTCTTGATTCAAGTGACACTGAAAATATTGCTTATTTAAATATTATCAGCTGATAGTTTCTTTTAAAGCCCTACTTGGAATTGAGTAACTTGTTCATAATCCTTAGTCGAAGGAAAAGTGTTTGTGGAAAAGGAACTTCTTTAAACTTGGTGGACTTCTGGGATTTTAGAGAACTAAAAACTTAGTTATGAGTGAGTCCCTTGTGGTTTAATGCCAGACTGTAGGCTGGAGAAATGCCTGGATCAGCTGCTAAATGTTTATAATTCACTGTAGCCTTCACTAGTGCAGTAGACTGCATTTAGTTACACTGCTAGTTTCTGGAGGATCATGCGGAGTTCAGCTGGAGTGGGCCCAAACCTCAGACATGAACTTTTGTGGGGTGGTAGGGTATTTGGTGGTAAAGAACTGCTTTAGCTGCTCCTCCTGGGCTCCTGCCTCTGTCTCCAGAGTTCAAAGGTACGACTGTAACAGTACCCAGGTGTAGTGCCCTTGTTGATACTAAACTGTAAATTGTCACGTGTTCAACCTCACTTGTTTTTTATGATGACAAAATCGTTTGGTGGCCCCTTGCTTAAGTTGTCTGGTGTTTCTATTCTCTTGTAACAAAGTGCAAACTGCATGGGTAATTTAATCTTGGAGGAATTGTGTGCTTCAATTGCAACTTTTAAGTGTAAAAAGAGGCTTAACAGATAAGCAAAAGGACAAACAAATGACAGCTTTTTTTGGTGACAGTGTAAAGAATCTTCTGACACATAGGATGACATTTTTTCAGAACCAGTTTTGAAGAAATAAAGCCAACGTGTTGGCACTTGTATAAACTGCACATTTCTTGCAGGAGTGTGAATGGAAAATAGACCAGTATTCGGCATGTATCCTCAGTTGAGAGGGAACCATAGATGGTAAATAAATTTCAGTTCAGTCAGTTGAGAGGATGTTGCAGTTGAGCAGCTGCAGTGCAACATGAACCAGCGTTAACCTGAGGACAAATGTCGGGTAATTACTTCATTCCTCTGTCAGGTGGGGTGTGGGATATGGGGTAGGATATGTGTACATGGTGGGTTTTTAGTGATTCAAAATTGATGACTTAGCATTTGAATTGCAGCCTCATCGATCATGTTACTGCATTAAGGCCAAACTATTCCAATACCATCTAACAGGGGCCGAATGCGAGTGTGTGTACGAGAGCTGGAGTTGGGCAGAGCTCAAGAGCTGTGCACAGCCCAGCAACAGCTCTCCCCAGGGCTGCTGCCTCAGCTGCTGGGGTAGGGTGCAACTGCTGGAAGGTGAAACCACCTTTTATAACCCCCCTGCCCTCTTCTGGGGATTGAAGGATAGGTTGTAAAATGAATGTATTTGGATCATTTCACTTCCTCTCCGGAGAAGGCAAGCAGCCTTCAAACTGATACAATGTTTCCCTTCGCGCAACCCTTTGCAGAAAGTGGTGTTACCTGTTGAGCAACATGCTACTTCTGTTACTGTGGGAAGGTTGAGCTAATGCCTGAGTTAGTGTAGTTTCTTTTCATTCCATTCTCTTAAAGCTGGTCAGGGTGGAGAGAAGTCCTGCATGTGTCAAATGGGGCAGCAGAGATCTAGAGCTGTCTGGACAAAAATAGGCGAAGGTTTAAAATATTGTTTGCTCGCAAAACAGGGGAGAATGGTTTGTACCACTTTGAAATAAGGGTAGTTTTGCTGGAAGAAACTTGACCTAATAGGTTAGCAAGTTTTAGGCTGTAATGCCTCAGATGATCAAGTGTTAATCTTTTGTGGATGAAGACTGATGGCACTCTCTGTTCAGTGCAAGTATTTATGCAGTCTGCATTGTCTTGATTAAATCTGAAACGCCTTCAGCCTTTAGTGCTATGCTAAAAATGTAAGAATTTTGTACAAGTTACTGAAGGTGCCTTCTTCACATAAGTTGACTTAGTACAGAAATTAATCTCAGCCAGACTTGGAGTTGGTGGGGATGAGTGTATAGTTTGTATGTTTAGAAGCATTTCTGAAAGTACGAAGTTAATTCTTTTGCTGCTCTTTCTAGGTAATATTTTTTGTTCCATTTTCAGGGCATCTTGTTAAAGCAAGAGAAACACAGCTTCACTTAGTATCAATATTTCATGTTCTCTGCTGACTTGGTTTTGTTGTCCTGCTCTTTCAAAGCTTACCATAAGGCTAGGTATGAAGCTTTAATTTTCCTGGGACTCATGTCTTTCAAATGGTGGCTACATAACGTGCACAGGTTTTCAGATGTTTTTTAATAAATGCAGCAAAAGATCCCTCAAAACCTTTAATTTTTTTTTCTCTTTAAGGTTTGGACCCCATGGAATCCCTGTGACTATATTTCCTAAAAGGGAATACAAGGATAAACCGGAAGCCATGCAGCTCCAAAGTAAACCATTCCAAGATGAGGCACAGGTGAAGTGTGAATCTAATGCTGCAGTCCCTGATGACTCTTCTCTCACGCAGCCATCAGAACCCAGCATAGCTAAAAGCCTATGGACTTCTAAACCACCTCCTCTCTTTCACGAGGGAGCGCCATATCCTCCTCCTTTGTTTATCAGGGACACATATAACCAGTCAATACCTCAACCTCCGCCCCGGAAAATTAAGCGGCCCAAGCGTAAAATGTACAGAGAGGAACCCACTTCTATCATGAATGCTATCAAACTGCGACCCCGGCAGGTCTTATGTGACAAGTGCAAAAACAGTGTTGTTGCAGAAAAAAAGGAAGTAAAAAAAGGTGGCAATGCAAGTGACTCTTCAAAATATGAGGATAATAAAAAACGAAGAAATGAGAGTGTGACTACTGTGAATAAAAAACTTAAGACTGACCATAAAGTGGATGGAAAAAGCCAAAACGAAAGCCAGAAAAGGAATGCTGTGGTCAAGGTTTCAAATATTGCCCATAGCAGAAGCAGAGTAGTTAAAGTTTCTGCACAAGCAAATACTTCAAAAGCGCAGTTAAATACAAAAAAAGTTCTCCAGAGCAAAAACATGGATCATGCAAAAGCTCGGGAAGTCTTGAAAATGGCCAAAGAAAAGGCACAAAAGAAGCAGAGTGCAACCTCCTCTTCCAAAAATGCACATTCAAAGGTCCACTTCACGCGGCGTCTTCAGAACACCAGCTCAGGTTCCCTCCCACCCCGATTGCGTTTAAAGCCACAAAGGTATCGGAACGAAGAAAATGACTCTTCTCTCAAGACAGGACTTGAGAAAATACGGAGTGGCAAGATGGCAACTAAGCCCCAGTCTCGCTGCTCCTCCACCCGCTCAGCAGGTGAGGCCCCTTCAGAAAATCAGAGCCCCTCAAAAGGCCCTGAAGAGGCCAGCGGTGAGGTTCAGGACACGAGTGAAGTGCATGTAACTGTTGATCAGGATGAACACCAGACATTGGGCAAGAGAGGCAGCAAAAGCAATATAACGGTTTACATGACCCTTAATCAAAAGAAATCTGACTCTTCCAGTGCATCAGTTTGTAGTAGTGATAGCACAGATGATTTGAAATCTACCAACTCTGAGTGTAGCTCTACTGAAAGCTTTGATTTTCCTCCAGGCAGCATGCATGCACCTTCCTCCTCCTCCTCCTCTTCAAAGGAAGAGAAAAAGCTCAGTAATTCCTTGAAAGCGGAAGTCTTTTCCAAAAACGTCTCTAAATGTGTCACACCAGATGGCAGGACCGTATGCGTAGGGGACATTGTTTGGGCCAAAATTTATGGCTTCCCTTGGTGGCCAGCCCGTATTCTTACCATAACTGTGAGCCGGAAAGATAATGGCCTTTTAGTTCGACAGGAGGCTCGTATCTCGTGGTTTGGCTCCACAACAACCTCTTTTCTTGCTCTTGCACAGCTATCCCCCTTTTTAGAAAGCTTCCAGTTGCGCTTTAATAAGAAGAGAAAGGGTCTTTACCGCAAGGCCGTCACAGAGGCAGCTAAGGCTGCTAAGCAGCTGACCCCCGAAGTTCGGGCCCTGCTGACGCAGTTTGAAACGTGAACATGGAAAGTAAGGTAGGCAAGAAATCTGGAGGCTCCACAAAATTCATAGCCTAGTTAGAGAACTGCCGTGAAGGACTTGCCAAGTCAGAAGTTGCACTCGGTTGACTGCTCTTTTTATACTAAAGTTGTTCCATTTGTAGCGGTTTCTTGACAGTTAAACAAATTGATCATGCAATCAAAATTAGCCTAAAGTAAGAACTTCAGTATTTTTCAAGTGAGAATTTTTTTAAAGGAAAAAAAACAAACAAAAACCTCCTCAAACACCCAATGCATAGGAGCCATAGCCTCAGCTGAAAGGCAGCTTATTTGCAGGGAATTTTTTAGTAGTTTCTACCCAGTATATAACTAGTTGCTGTGTGGCAAAGGGTTAACACAAGGGATGAAATAGTAGCTGTGACTTTTTTTTTTTTTTCTTAGGTGGCCCATCAGGGAAGTGTAGAAATTTAAGCCTTGTCTAAATGGTCTTTAAAGATTATTTTAAATAGTCTCTAATGTATTTAGTCTGGCCAGTGCTAATTGGTTCGAAGCGTGCTTGAACATCTTAAGGAGCCATGCCCCGATCCACACAGGCCAGTTTAAATGGCATTAGAAAACTTGCTGAAATGTTTAAGGAAGAATAATTCATGTAACTTAAAGACCAGATTAAATGGGGTTTTATCGTAGTGACCACTTAAACACTCAGCCTTTCTATGCACATGGGGGCACAAATATAACACTTCAGGGTCTGAGAAGCTGAGAGGGATGCCTGTAGCTCTAAGACAAAGCTGAGAAGTCGCTCAGTGTTTGGGATCAAGGGCTGTTAATGCTGCATAGGTGTGAATCATAACTTCTGGTCTTTCTTCCTGAAGAAATCTTTCAGGCCATTTGCCTGGAGGTTTAGATTAAGAGAGGCTTTGTTCTGAATGTGTAAATAATTGATTGCTGAAATTGGTCAGATTTTCTCCTGACTGGTTGTTCCTAAATTCTTAGGATACGTCCTAGTAAATTACACTTTGTGAATTGTCAGATGTGTAATTGTTGCATTTTGGATGTATCTAACTTCATTTTTTTTAATATTTCCGTTTAAGGTATCTGTTTGCAGGTCAGAAAATGAGAATATGTAATTGTGTAATGCTCTGAAATGTAAAAAAAACAAACTGTAAATAAAATTGACTAAATCTGAATTATTTGTGTGTGTTTCTCAAAAAGCTTTGAAAAAATCCAGGATGTTAGAGTACTTTCTATGTATGCCGTATTTAGAGGACACCCTTTTAAAAAGAAAATTGTCCTTTTTCACGCATTCTTAAAAATAACTGCTCGATGTCAAGTACTGTTGGTAGATTTCAGTCTGAATTTTGAGACTGAGCAATTGCCTGTCCCTCTTGTTTCAAAACTAGCTCTGTAGAGGGCTTTCTGTAAAGTCGATCAAATTTACCCCTTATTTAGATTTTGCTCCATATATTTGACTGAAGACTGTGGATGTCACACAGTGGGGAAATGCTTTCAGTTTTCTCCATCTATCAAACCCTAATCAGACCCGCTCCACTGTTACTTCAGCTTTTCTTGCATGTCTTTTGCTCAGTGTTGGGGCATTTTCATGCAGCTGACTTGACTTTTTTCCTCCCCCCCTTCTAGTTTTGGTCCTTATCTGACCATGTGAGTTACTGTCTTTTCTCCAACCCCTCCTTTTTCAGCCTTGCCTTGTGAGGAATCTCTCGGTGTTTATCCCAAAGCAATTTTCATCCTGTTTTTTTCCATAATTGCCGATGTAGGCAATCACGACAGATGTAAAAATTTAAGCTTAGACTGAAATTATATTTTAGACATTAAAATAGGGGTAAGGATTTAATCATCAAACCCTTAAAATCTTTTGACCATAAGATTAAATTTCATATGTTCGTGATAGTGTCTGGTCTTTCCAAAGCATTCCGTTTCTTTTTACCTTTTTAAATGATTCTGTTGTGCCCACAGAACTACTGCACATCTAACATGTCAAGCACATGGCTGTTCAAATTTTCCTCAACTTCATGGTCATCTCTATTAGGTGCTAATTAAGCTTCCAAATATAGCAGCTTTACCTTGGCATTCTAACCCCCACTGGTCAATGCTTTTTGAATGCGACAAACACACAATAAATTTCATAATGTGGAAAAAAATTAAGAAAAAAAAAATTAAAGGAAAAAAAATTCCTGTTTCACTTCTATGTATTCTTTCCTGCAAACAGAAACAGTTACTCTATTTAAGTAAATAAGCCATACTTTGTTATTAAAGCAGACTGCTTTTAGAAGTCAAGAACCCATACAATCTGGTTTAGATGTCTACACTAGTTCCCTGAGGTTTAGAGGCTCAGGCAATCTGGTTAGAAGTTGTCCTGAGCCAGGTAGTGTGAAATCAGTATTTGCTTTGTTCATTTTTCTTTAAAAGACCTGGGAGCTTTGTACTCTTATCTCTTCATTTATATGAAGTTACAATAGCACTAGAGCACTAGTAGCACACATAGTCAGTTTGCTCAGGTGTTCACTGGTAAGATGGGTGAGTAACAAGTACGAGAGAGCTTTCTTTAGGTTGCGTTATATTCAAAGGAACTGTTTATGAAAGGTATTTAAAGGGTCTGAGTTTAGATTTGTAGCTGATCAGTGTTTTAAGAAGTCTTTCTTAAGTTTTATAGTGGATGTGCATTATCACTTCAGATTTGACAAGTCTCAAAACAAATAGATGGTTTTTTATGTCACCATGTTACCTTACGTTGTAAATATACTCTTCATACTCATCCATGATTTTTCTTTCACTCCAAAGTAGCTTACACTCTAGATACAATAGAGTTTACAATGGAGAAAATTTTGGGCTTAATGTAAAGTCTGGTGACAGTAACTAACCATGGTTATGGCAGTAGGGATGCTGCATGTAGATTAGTTTTGCAGACTTAGACACAACTTGTACTGTTTTAGCTTTAAACTGCAAAAAACCCCACGCTTTTCTGTGCCTACACTGAGTGCGCACTACTGTTCCTGTAGCTGGGTACACAGCTCCCAGCCGCGCTAGCTTGACGGATGAAATGAGTTGTCAAAGAGCTGGTGACAGGAGCACGCCTGTACGGTGCCAGGGTAGTGCATCTGTGTGATTCAGCTGCGCAACTGGTGCGAGCAGCCCGTGTCTTGAGAAGAGAAAGAGTAGAAAGAGTCACTTTTTGTTTTCTATCACCTTAATATAACAAATTGCAAATGTCTCTTTCAGTTAATGAAGTTCTTCAGTGTAGTTGTTGAGTATGTATGGTCTTTCAATTTTGAGGGGGAAAACATGACAGGTGGTGATGGGTTTCCAGTACAAGCCTACTTTTCCTTTGAAGATCTTTAGTTTCAGTTGAAATACTGTGGGAGAGAGTAGTTATTCCAAAACTTAGAAAGATTTTCTTTAACAGGAGTGTTTGAAGGTGTGATTGCTTTGTGAGTGAAGCTAGAAGCAAATGTGAAATGCTTGTATGTCTCTGAAGTGGAGTTCTACAGGAAATTGAACAAATATTTGTTATTTTTCTAATCAGAGTTGTAATTTTATGTCAACACTTAAATGAGATAATCATCTCTGATTATATGGTATTTTCTTTTAGACACTGCTGTCTTTAGTTTGACACCTACATAACTCACAGCTGCTTCAGGAGGAGCGTGTTTAGTGGGGGTAATTTCAGTCAACTGGAAGGCTGAGAAGATTTCATCTTTTCAGCATTTAAAAAGAAAGTAGTTACTCAATGGGATTGGCACATCAGTGGAAGTGAGGAAGGGGTATAAGTTGCTTTTTGCATTTCTAGCCTTAGGTTTGTTTCCAGTTAACTCACTTAAATCCTGAAACTAATTTCCATTCATGTCTTCTATAAACTCTTGCTAAAGTTGTCAAGAGTAGAATAGGAACATGAATTTTGGAAAACCAATCTTAGTAACTGGTCCTCAGCAGCAGCATCACTTGTCTTCATGCATGTTCTGTGAAGTACAGTGAAAAAATAGAGCTGCCTTTTTAGCTGAAGAATTCTGGAAAGGAGGCGGCTGACAATCAGTGCAAGGCTATTCCAGTTCATCTCTTTCTTTATAATCGTATTCTAATAAATGCCTACAAGAACAAGCCAATTCAGTCAGTGCCGTGGGATGAGTGCACTGGGAGCTGCAAGTAGTGAGCTTATGATTAAAAGGGCAGTAAGACAGCAGTAGTTTATGTCATAAGCCATTTGTTAAAAGCATGGGTGTACTGTTGAGAAACAAACTTGAAAGTGATCTTACAGTACAGGGTTCATTGTGGTTAAAGGCTGAGGTGCTTTATC